CTAGGGCCCTAAAATTCCAGTCTGGCTTGCCTATAGCTTTTTGGGGCCATTGTATTTTACACGCAGCCTATCTTATTAACAGACTCCCAACTGAAGTCCTTAATGGGAAAACTCCTTTTGAATTGATGAATGGCACAAAGGTGGACTACAATCAACTTAGATCTTTTGGTTGTCTGTGTTTTGGTGCTACCATATCACAAGGAAGGAACAAGTTTCAGTCAAGAGCAAGGAAGTGTGTGTTTCTGGGCTTTCCAGCAAACATAAAAGGTTACTTATTATATGATTTAACTGATCAAGCTACCCTTGTTTCCAGGGATGTTAAGTTCTATGAACACACATTCCCTTTCAAAGGATTGAATCTAAGAAGCACTTCTGATTCTTGCATCACTGATAGGCATATTTTACACTCATATTTTAGGTACATCTTTATAATAATTTTGCATTAATTATTTACTATTATATATTAATTATTCCATTTTAGAATTTATTTAATTAATTAGGTTTTATAATAGTATTTAATTAATAATTTAAATTTAGAGTCCATTTAGTTTATAATCCAATTCTAGGGTAATTATTTAAGTATTATTTTTGTTTAGCCCAATCATTTAACATAAAGACAAAACAAAATAAATAAAACATAAAAACTTCTTTTCTTTCTTTCGTACAGAGCTTGGGATAAAGCAACAAATTGACCTCCTCAAAATGCAGCGCAACTTGGATGGCAAATCAGCGGATGACTCGGGCGTGATGCGCAAAAGGAGGAAATGAGTGGCAGAGATTCATTTGAATTTATTTTAAGAATAGTATAAATAGTAGAAGTTTTTCTATTGTAAAATGTTCATTCTTCCCCTCTCGATTATTCTGTAAAGCTGTTATCAATGTCCATTCATTGCTAATTTCTTTAGCTTGGTTTAGTGAATTGAAGCCCCGGAATTGATTATGCTGTAAGATTATTTAGTTATTTTTATTATATAATTTTTATTCATTTGGGTATTCAATATTCTTCTAAGTTATTTGAATAGTTGTATCATTTAATTGCTAGGGAGGCCTACTAGTTATTTATTTGATATAATTATTTGCTATATTAGATAATGTTGTGCTACAAATTATTCTAATATTCAGTAGCAACTGGGTTAATTATTGACGGCTTAGTGATAATTGGACTCGGGAAGAATATTTTCCTAAATTAAATGCAACCGCTTGTGCTTGTGTTATTTAGTTTGTCGGTTTTCCTAGTTCCTATTGCTGCTATTAAATTAAATCTATAGCGCTTGTCTTAGATTATTTAGTAGTTAGGGGTAATCAAACCGCTTGTGCTTTATTTACCTACAATTAAGGGAAAACCGAAATGAAATAATTTCACAACAAATATTCAATTGCATATTAATTACTTTATTAATCAATGATCAGTGTTGAATTCCGGTGGTGGATCTTTACTAACCAAGGTTTCTTATTATAAGTGCTTTCGATATATTATTTTCATTGCTTTATTCGTTCAGTTAAATTACTTGTTTATTTAAATTCTCTTTTATTTAATATTTATTCTCGGTATATTCCAAACCCCCCATTATTTCCTTGAGCACAAAAGTTAAACTAGTTACTCCTCGTGGGATCGATCCTTACTCCCGCTACTACGTTTGTAAGGTTTTAATTTGGGAGCCTACGACAGCTCACCAATCACTGAGAAATTCAATCATGTATTGCCTCTGGTTCCCACCACCACTGAAATGTGTTGGGAATCTACAGAAGTTGATGTTGCCACTGGAACCAGTCCACAAAATGATCCCAATGCAGATTTTGAGGTTGAGAGCAATAATGAAGGCATAATGTCTAATGGTGTTTTAAGAAATGAATCAACCAGTAACACACTGGTTGATCACATCTTATCAAACACAGCTGAGCAGCATCATGATGAAGCATCCTAGATTGATCATGTTTTACCAAGTCCAAGCAGTCGTCAACATGTTAGAAGGTCTACAAGAACAAAGACAGTGCCTTCCAAGCTACATGACTACTATTGCAAACTTATGGTAACTGATGATTCTAACAGAAGAACTTCTCCCCATTCTATTCATAATTTCATTTCCTATGATAATCTGCCTGACAGTCATAGATCATGTGTTTCTGCCATCACATATGCACATGAACCTCAGTCTTATAATGAAGCTGTTAAAAGTCAGGAATGGAGGAAAGCTATGCAAACAGAAATAGAAGCCTTGGTCCAAAATAACACCTGGACTCTGACAGAATTGCCTATGGGGAAATCTCCAATTGGATGCAGATGGGTATACAAAATAAAACATAGGGCAAATGGCTCTATAGAGAGATACAAAGCCAGATTAGTTGCTAAGGGATACACTCAGCAGATGGGAGTGGATTACACTGATATTTTCTCACCTGTTGCAAGGATGACAACCATAAGAACCCTTCTGGCTGTTGCAGTTGCCAAGGGATGGGAAATTCAGCAACTAGACATTAATAATGCCTTCCTGCATGGTGATCTAGAAGAAGAAGTCTATATGGTCCTTCCACCAGGTTTCAAAAGTGATAAAGATAATCAAGTTTGCAAGTTATTAATATCTCTATATGGTCTTAAGCAAACAAGTAGGCAGTGGAATGCTAAGCTTACCTTTGCTTTACTAAACAATGGCTTTTATCAATCTGCTGCTGACCCTTCATTGTTCATCAAAAGATCAGGGTCTTCCTTCACTGCATTGCTTGTGTATGTGGATGACATTTTGATAGTACAGATGCTAACCAAATCAGGCAGTTGAAACAATTTTTGGATAGATCCTTTAAGATCAAAGATCTTGGACAGTTGAATTATTTTCTGGGAATTGAAGCTTTTAGAAACCATGATGGCCTAAACTTATGTCAAAGAAAGTATACTCTGGAAATCCTGAAGGAAAATGGTTTCTTGGAAGCCAAACCTGCCAAGACACCTTTCACCACAGGGCAGAAACTCACAAGTATTGATGGGAAGTTGTTGGATCAACCTGAGATCTATAGAAGACTTGTTGGGAAACTGTTATATTTGACTAACACAAGGCCTGACATATCATATGCTACTCAACAGCTTAGCCAGTTTGTTGACAAACCTAGGGACATACACCTAATGGCAGCTCATAGGGTGTTGAGGTTCCTTAAAGGAACTCCTGGCAGAGGCCTTTTTTATGCTACAAATTCTACCATAAAACTTCAAGGCTTCTCAGATTCTGATTGGGGGACTTGCACTGAATCTAGAAAGTCCATCACTGGTTATTGCATTTTCCTTGGGAATTCACTTGTCTCTTAGAGAACAAAGAAGCAACCTACTGTATCAAGATCCTCTTCTGAGGCAGAGTATAGAGCATTAGCTGCTACTACCTGTGAGATTCAATGGCTAACATATTTGTTGAAGGATTTGCAGATAAGTATGAATGGTCCTACTATTTTGTATTGTGATAACAAATCAGCAGTGGCAATTGGTGAGAATCATGTCTTTCATGAGCGTACTAAACATATTGAGATTGACTGTCATGTTGTAAGACAAAAAGTTCAAGAATGAGTAATCAAGCTATTAGTTATTCCATCAACTAAGCAGCTTGCAGATGGTTTTACAAAAGGTTTGTCTAAACCTTTATTTGATGAGTGCCAATCTAAGCTGGGCATGCAGGACCTCCATACTCCAGCTTATGGGGGGGGGGGGGGGTGATGAAGCATGATGCAGTCTCACAAAGTGCAACACAATAGCTGGGCTGATCCATGTCAGTCTTCTGGTCTCTTCTGCTTAATAAGCCTAAAAGGGCTTTTTAGTCCTTTTGCCTCCTAGGCTGTTATAACCGTTTTTCTCTTCTTCCCTCCACATATGTGTACATATATATGCGTTCTGTTTGTTGGCTCAGCTGTACGAATCATTTACAATCTTCTTCATCAATAAGATACATTCACTCTCCTTCTACTTCTCATCATGAACTACCAAACCCTAATCACCATGATTGTGTAATCTGAACAGTTTTGCTTCTCAAGCACAAAGTACTAATACTTCAAATGGAAATCTACCCCAAACAAAGATTTGGAGAATGCAATAATAAAAAAAAACTAACAAATGAATGAAATAACAATAAAAGTAAAAGTGGAGGGAAATAGGAACTTGGATTAGAATGGTACAATCGAATCGGAAATAAGGGAAAGAATCAATTGATTAGATGAAAGATGTCATATTAACAAGGAGGAAGCCTTTGTAAAGGTCATTCCACACTCTGAAATTGAAAATACTAGGGGTGACATGAAATTCTAATTCCGTGAAAATGATGGAATTGCAATTCTCTCCAACCAAATGATGGAGTTTGTTTGCCTTCAAAATTAAGTGAAAATGAAATTATGATTCCCTCTAACCAAATGAGTTGTTACATGTTAAGTCATTTTTATTAAATGGTGAAATGATAAAAATTTAAACAAAGGATTAATTGTGACAAATAAATACGGAGTAATAATTTAGAATATAATGGGAGGTCATATGTTCGAACTCCCATGGGGCATTGACTCTTTGTACTTTAATAGGTTGAGAAAGTATATATAGACATACTATCTCTTTGTATTTTAATAGGTTTGAGAAAATATATATAGACATATACTATATTATTTCCTTTGGTGTAAACCACGAGATGATCCGGGTCTTTCTCTCTCCGTTTAATAGTCCAGGTCCATCCGACTAATTCTCATCCGCTCCGAAACTATATTATAAAAAGAATTAAAAGTACTCAAAAAAATTAAAAGAGTAACATTAAATGCGATAATATTGTCAATAACTTTATGGTCTAGTAGCATAGTTGCTAGTGGCTACTTAAAAATGAGATAGTGTCATAGTAGTCCAAGATTAAAAAAGGAATTTGCGCTAAATTGATGTGCATTACCTTAAATTTATTTGACTTAAAAAGTAAAATTTACTTAATGATTGAGGTGGATCATAACAAAAACTATTTAAAAAATGTAGAATTTGGCCAATTGGCATCCTCTTCAATTCCTAGTTTCCTACTTTGCCAATTGCCAGTTTGCCACCCCAACCCCAAGGGCTCATTAATCCACACTATACTCTCCATTATATGCAGTTATGCACAACACTACACTACACAGACACCTCTCTCTCTCTCTCTCTCTCTCTCTCTCTCTCTCTCTCATATTCACTCACTCTCACTGTCACAGCTTTCACAGATTTAGCCAAACACAAGTAGTCCTCTCTCCCTCTCTGTAACACCGAAACCCAACCTTCCATTCAACATTTTTCAGCGTCTTTCTCTCTCTCTCTCTCTCTCATGCATTCATGAGTTGCGTCTTCAGAGCCCATTCAGCTCTGGGGGCGGTGCCGGCCGGGAAAACCTTCAATCTTTCTTCCGATTCCAGCTTTACTTACAATCATTCATATTCATGGGTTGTTTGGTATCTCAGCTGGCGGCCAAGTTCGCCTTCTTTCCGCCGTCTCCGGCCACCTACCAGGTCAAGAAGCGCGACGACGGCCGCCTCGTCGCCGTCTCCACCGCCTCCTCCATGCCCATCTCCGGCGCCGCCGACGACCCTTCTTTGGATGTGCTCCTTCTGGACACCAAAAGAGGCAACAAGATCGTTGCTTATTACCTCAAGAACCCATACGCTAGGCTCACTATGCTATACTCTCACGGCAATGCGGCTGATCTCGGCCAGCTCTATGACTTGTTTCTTCAGCTTAAAGCTAATCTCCGAGTCAACCTTATGGGGTCTGTACTCTTCTCCCTTTTCCCTCTTTCTTTTTTCTTTTTCCCCATTTTCTTAACCTCAAAATCTTTTTTTTTTTTTTTTCTCATTTCTGTATTTATTGCTGGCTGTATATACATACATGTGAGTTCTTTCATGTTTTAGCTTGGATATGGTGAATCCCCTTCTTCTTGTAGTTATTTTGTATCTATAAATTTTTTTTTTTTTTTGGGGGGGGGGTAGGAAAATGGAAATAGTTCTGTCTGCTGGGTGGCGTCATTGGCGTGCTCCTTTTATCCATTTCTCATGCCTAAAGGGGAATACAAAATTATTTTTTTATTATCTTTTTAAATTCACCATTTTTGAGAGGTTTTGGGGTTTGGGATCTGTTTTTTTTTTTTTTTGTGTGGATTTGATCTGAAAATTTTGTGGGTTTTGGCTGAGGATAAGAAAGGTGAAAGTAATGAAGATCTGGGGTGAATTTTATTATTTTATTTTCACTGCTCAACAGTCCCTTTCCACTTTTTTTTTTTTGTTGTTGTTAATTTGCTGTTTCTTGAATCTTGATATGTTAAAAGTGACAGGTTTCACTGGGTGGCATTCACCTACAGAATCGATGGTGAAACGTGAAAAAAGAGTTTGTGCGGTGCGTTTGGATAGTGATAGTGATAGTGATAGGGACTGTTCTTCAATTTGCTCCATTTGTCAAATGCACTGTTAGTTGCCCATTGAAACCCACCTTTGGTGCCAAATGGAACTTGAAACCCAACCCATCTTTCACTCTCACACTGTTCTTAGCCTGCATTTATTGCTTTTCCATAATGAGATGGATGGATGGATGTATGCTGCATTTGCAACTTGTACTTGGATGTAATCTAAGTTATCCCCTTCCAAACTCCCAATCAGAAACCAGTCATGGTCCTTGAAGAGATAGGGAATTTAGTGGTTTTGAATTCTGTTATGTAGTTTTGTTTTTGTGCCCATTTTAGTGTATGTTAGCGTTCTGATACTACTTGTTAGGATCAAGCGTAAGAAGTGTTTATTACTGCCAAGCACCTTGTGCTCAGTTGGCACCTCTGTGGCTCTCCTTGAGTGAAGGTTACAGGATCGAACCCCGGTGGTGAGATAGGTGGGGTATTGACTCTTTGGATAGAGAAAGTATAGAAAAAATACTACCTTGTAATAGAGTCGCAACTTTATTTCCTTATACTTGAGTAGCAGTCATCGACACATTTTTGAAAGTCATGGTGCTGGACTTGGCCCTTCAAGGCCTTTGCCCAACAATCCCCTGGCCACCTGGTGCTATGCTTGTCCCTTCAGGCCTCCGCCCAATAGTGTAGGGATGTTGCTAACTTTGTATGTTTTCGGGAGGGAATATTGATTATTACTTCTGTTTCAATCAAAATATGCAGGTATGACTATTCTGGTTATGGAGCTTCTAATGGGAAGGTATATAGTAATAGCACCACGAATTTGATATTATCTGTGAGAGTTAAAAATCTTGCTTTACTGATTTAATGATCTCGCTATGCTATGCTTTTGTTATGGATCAGCCAAGTGAGTTCGATACATATGCTGATATCGAGGCAGTATATCAATGCCTTCAAACTGAATATGGTGTTAGCCAGGAAGATCTGATTTTGTATGGACAGTCTGTTGGAAGTGGCCCGACATTGCACTTGGCAGCTCGATTGCCAAGGCTGAGAGGCGTAGTTTTGCATAGTGGCATTCTTTCTGGTCTTCGTGTGCTCTGTCATGTGAAGTTTGCGTTTTGCTGCGACATTTACAAGGTCAGTTGGCGTCTCAATCTCACGAGCCCGTGCCAATGAGATTAGTTTGTACTTTGTACGACTGTTTTTTTACCAATTTATGTGCTTATTGCCTGCAATAGTTACTGACCAAGAGTCGTGTGGACTTGCAGAATGTAAACAAGATTCGGAAGGTGAAATCCCCTGTGCTTGTAATACATGTAAGTGCTTTTAACCCCGCCTTCCTATTTGAAATTGAAATAGGTCTCCTTTCTCTAGAAATTTGATTGAAACGAAAGCACATAAAGAGTAATAAATTGCACTTCCGAACTGCCCTTTTCTCGGATGTGTAATATCGACGAATATGACACCTTGGTGTTAACCATACCTTTTAATATGCTCTACGTGACAATTATCTTTGTTTCACTTGGGGGAAGGATTGCATCTCACACATATAGAAATGGTCATTGAAGGCCTCAACATTCTTTCTAAATGGACCGACCATACATATAGAAACTACTTATTGGTTTTCACATCTTTATATAATAAATATGGCCCTGTTTGGTAACATAGTTAGCTTATCAGCCAATTTTAGCTTATTTGACGACTATTAACTGTTTGACTTGATTAAACAATCAATATAAGTATTTGGCTTATTCCAGTGATTGCTCATTTGAGGTGGCGTGCGTTTTGATCCACAGGGCACGGAAGATGATGTGGTAAACTGGTTGCATGGTGAGAGACTATGCAAAATGGCTAGGGATGCGTACGAGCCCTTGTGGATTAAGGGAGGAGGGCACTGCAACTTAGAGCTTTACCCCGACTATATCCGCCACCTATGCAGGTTTGTCCAAGAAATGGAGAACATGAACACGAAAGCTCGACTCCAAAAGATCCGGCAAACACTCCAACTACAAAAGCGATCAAACGCCCCGACGTGCTGCTGCAACATTAAATGCCCGAAGCCCAGATGCACCACAAAATGCCCAGAATGCCCAAAGCCCAGTTGCACAGAATGCCTGGAGTGCCCGAAGCCCAGCTGCACGAAATGCTGCTTTTGGCCAAAATGCCTCGAGTGCTCGAAGCCCAGCTGCACGAAATGCTGTTGTTGGACAAAATGCCTGGAGTGCTCGAAGCCTAGTTGCACGAAATGTTGGTGTTGGCCAAGATGCCCGAAATGGAGGCTGAAATGCCCGAAATGGAAGCCAAAATGCGGGTGTTTACAACCGAGCTGCATAAAATGCTCGTGTTGGTGGTCGAAATGCTCGTGCAGGCAGCCAAAATGCTGGTGTTGGTGATAGGTATGGGGTATGGTGGGGGGTATACAAACTTAGAAAGTTGTTGTATAGAAGATGAGCCCTTCAATCTGTGCAGTAATCTTAGAGATTGCTATGATAAATTAGACAATAGGTTTCAATTCCAACTTCATAGTGTTAAAATATAATGCTGCTGCTCATTCATCAAAATCTATTTTATATATATTGGTTTAATCCTATAGTTTTACTATCAACGTAGTAGCATAATATATATCCCTGGCAAGCAGTTTGGATGAGTAAAAATTATAATTGCTCTCGTTGAGAGTCGAACTCAAGACCTCCCGCTTACTAAACGGGTGCTCTAACCAACTGAGCTATGAGAGCCTGTTTGTTTATGTCCCTTTCTAATTAATAAAGTAGAATCACCTAGAGAAATTTTGATTTGCATTTATTTATTAATTAAAATTAATTTTAAATTTGGTACTATTAGGTCTAATTTAATTATTTTAAATTGTATTATTTACTTCTTTTTTTTTTTTGTGGTTTCAATATTAATCTAAAATTGATAAGATAAATAATCTAAAAATTAAAATTTGTATTTATTTAAATTATTATGAGATAATATTATATATGCATCTATTTTTAAAATTTATATGTCAAGTATATTTTATATATACTTTTACAATTAATATTAATTTGTTTCTATTCTTATTAATTTATATTTTTGAATGATAATTTGGAGAAACAACAAATATTATTGATTCAATCTTATTTTACTAATAGAGATTAATAGCTATGCAACAAAAAATTATGGAACCTAAAACTATAAAACATACTTCAATTAATAACTTGATTCACATAAAGTAGAGAATTTATCTAATTTCTTGGAACAATAATATTACAACATACACCATGTCAAAACTACCAGCACCAAACATTTACAATAGCATTCTTACATACACTCTATATATGAACACAAATAATACATAAGTTAGTCAAAATTTCCTGCATATCATGATCCACACTAGCTTCATTAAATGTATATTATTTATGTACTGAATGAATCATATCAGTACTCAAATAATATACTTTTTATTCATTCTTCCCTAAGAGTTGTTCTGATTGAGCATCTGAAAGGATATAAATCATAGTAACTTGAACATTCTTCTCAAATTTCAGTGTACCCCTGTGACCAACTGAGCTGTCCGAGCTGTTCCGTGGAATGATTGGATAAGTTAGATTTGGGCTATACCGGCATGACTTGACCTTCTAGAGCTCCGGCCACGGCGGTGCTTCCGGTGGCTTCCATGGAACTTCAACTTCATCTTCTCTCTCAGCCTACCACTGGACCTAAACATCTCCCGCTCGGACTGCACGATGACGCACTCGGGCGGCGGGGCGGCGTACCTAACGACGTCGTAGCAATAGGAATAGTACATGTACTTCTCGCGGAACCACTTCATGGACGTGTGCTGTTCCGGCGTGAGGGTGGCGTAGCGGCGCGCCATGAGGGCGGCGTGGCGGTCGGTGCAGTTGGTGGACGGGATTTGTTCGATGGGGTCGACGGCGCAGCCTTCGAGTACGAGGTCCCTGAACTCGGCGACGAAGGGCTCGTACCGGTAGTTCACTTTGTTCCGGCCGCCGTTGGTGGCCCAGTTGGAGGCGTCCCATATTGTTACGTACAGAGACATCGGCTTTGATGGGAAGTCGCCGCCCATTGATGGGTTGCGCACAACTTCCCTGATTGGCATCTCGTCTAGGTAAAAACTATGCAAACAAACACCCTATTCAAAACGCTAGCTGCTAAAATACAAGAGAATTGAATTCAAGAATCTATAACACATGCATTTACTCTTAAGGAATATATATATATATATATATATATATATATATATATATATATATATATATATATATATATATATAAATGCACCATACCTAATGTTGCATTTCTAACACCTTGTAGTGCATTTATGTGTAACTAATTGTGAGTGACAGCACGGCCACACGAAACCTAACCCTATATATATAGTGGATCAAATGTGAACCGGGCTTCCCGTACGGTCAATGCGGATTGCACCATTAGGTATGCATAAATGCACCACACAGTAATCAGCTTGGTTGGTGTGAGTGTCGTGCACTTTTGTCCCTTAAGAGAGGTTGGGAGTTTGAACCCACCCTCTCATATGGAAAACCAATTTGGTCAGTACTTTGCCCCTTAATTGGACCAGCCCAGTGCGAACAGGGATTAGTTGAGTATGGTACGGGCCCTCCTACAGTTAGGACATGCTCAAGACACCTCATGGTCTAACAAAAAAAATGCACAAATGCACCACACCTAATGGTGCATATCCAAACACCTTGTGATGTATTTATGCGTAACTAATAGTGAGTGACTGTACAACCGCATGGAAAATCCTGTCCCACGGAAATCTGACGATATATATAAAATTACTCCTGAGGCCTGCTTTTGTTTTTTTGCACTTGGACATAATTCAGTAATGATCGAAAGGTGGAGTGTGACTGTAGTGACGAATAAAGAAAAAAGTAAGCACTCAGATCACTACGTTAATGTGTCATATTTTCTTTTTTAGTGCTTTTATATCAATGAAAATCTTTAATTGCAAATGTTATAATCTAACAGCACGCAGCATAAACTTATTAACTTTAAATAGATCGAAAGTCTCACATTATGGGTAAGAAGGAAATTGAATATAAATAAAGCAAGCAGGTAGCTAGCAATAATCATATATATATAATTCTTACATGATGTTTTTGGGAGTCCAAAGAATGCTATATGTGTGCACCTCTTTGCTTGGATCGAACCACAGCCGATACCTCTCTTCCCTTCCTCGAGACATACTGCCATTGCCATACAAATTGGTCTGAAACCTCCATGGTTTCCCTCTTATGTTCCCCAAAAATTCTATGTCTAGCTCATCATGGTTCTTCTCAAACATGTCCACGTTTGATGTCTGCATCCAAGCATACGCATGTATATTATATCTGTTAAAATCAAGTGTTTACCACTATGTCAAAAGCTATAACTACTAGCAAAGGCATCACCACATTTTCAAGAGGTAGGGTGTTGATCTTGGCCCTTCACCAACTTCCGCCCAATAAATCTCTAAGCCATTAATTACTAGACTTGGCCTTTCATCGGCCTCTGCCCAGCAATTGCACTAGTCACCAATTGTTAGACTTGGCCTTTCACCGGCCTCTACCCAACAATTTCTCTAGCCACCAATTGCTAGATTTGACCTTTCACCGTCCTCCGTCCAACAGTTTCCCTACTCACCAATTGCTGGACTTGGACTTTCATCGGCCTCCACCAAACAATTGTCCTAGCTACCAATTGTTGGACTTGGCGTTTCACCAGCCTTTGCCCAACAATTTTTCTATCCACCAATTGCTAGACTTGACCTTTCATCGCCCTCGGCCCAACAGTTCCCCTAATCACCAATTGCTGGACTTGGACTTTCATCGGCCTTTGCCAAACAATTGAGCAAATTATGTCGTGCAACCGTGTGCACCATGCATGGTGCACATAGTTGCAAAAACGGCGTCGTTTTGACGTCCGACTTTTAAAAAAAAAAAAGAAAAAATTATTTTCGATTACCGTTAACGGCATTATGCTATGCATAATTTGAACTATATATCCAGAATTAATGAACTATATATCCAGAATTAGTGAACTATATATACAGAATTAGTGAACTATATATTCACACCGATTACTGGTACTCTGTTTTGACTTATGGCCGTTTGCTACTTCTGTGTATTCAGAATGAATGAACTATATATTCAGAATTAACGAACTATAAATTCAGAATTAATGAACTATATATCCAGAATTAATGAACTATATATCCAGAATTAATGAATTATATATCCAGAATTAGTGAACTATGTATCCAGAATTAATGAACTATATATTCAGAATTAATGAATTATATATCCAGAATTAGTGAACTATATATCCACACCGAAAATGTTGGAAATCCCGTCGATTGGAGTTAAAAAAAAAAAAAAAAAAAAAAAAAAAAAAAAAAAAAAAAAAAATTGATTGGTGGAGTTAAACTGTGCCACTAATGACACCGTTACTCCACCATAGTGAAATGGCGTCGTTCGCAACCGTGTGCGCCATGCATGGTGCACACGGTTGCAGAGCATAATGATTGAAACAATTGCCCTAGCTACCAATTATTTGACTTGGCCTTTCACCGGGTTGCCCAACCATTTCCCTAGCCACCAATTGCTAGACTTGACCTTTCACCGCCCTTGGCCCAACAGTTTCCCTAATCACCCATTGCTGGACTTGGACTTCCATCGACCTCCGCCCAACAATTCTCCTAACCACCAATTGCTGGACTTGGCCTTTGCCCAATAATTTTCCTAACTACCAATTTCTGAATTGACTTTTCACCGACCTCTGCCCAACAATATCATACATTTTAATTGATAGATATTATATATGACTATATGTAACCTCAGACTACCCAATTAACATGATGCATATTAAGTTACTATAAGACTTTATTAGCAAAGTTTTTGTTATTCTTAAGGTTTCAACTTTAAACTTTTCTTAAAAGGCATGAAAGATGGTAGCTATCCTAGTATACTTACGTAGAATGCAACAACGATTCCGGCTGTGTATTCCGACGGCAATTTAATGCTGGCGCTAAAAAACGCATGGCTATAATATTCTGTGGAAATTATTCCCGACCCTGCAAATCATGTACAATTTTACATCGTATCATGTAACTCCAACATACAATAATTATATATATATAATTATTTAATTTGGATTAATTAATTACCGGATTTACGGTTGAGGAGGAGGCGTACGATCTTGTCGTCTCGGGACCGTTCGATATTGAAGTCGCTGAAAAGAGGGGAATAGCCTTCCCCGTAGGTGATGGCGGAGAGGTTAAACGGCGGCGCCGCCTCCACCGTGAAGGCGGTGGCGATGCTAAAGAGGAGGGCCCAGAAGGGGAGAATACAATCCATTTTTGCATATCCTTTGGGATTTTTTTTTTCTTTTCGATTTTTTTTTAATTTAAAAAAAGAAAAAAATCTATTTCTAATAGGAATTCTCTCTCCCCATATGATTTGGTTTCTCCTCCTCCCCTGGCCGGAAGTTTATAAGATGACGCCGGCGTTCAATTGTTGCACGGCTAGGTTATGTTTGGTAAGCAAGAATTCAGACAGAATAAAATTTTAATTTTGATATAATCTCAGGCTGGTTAGAGTTAATTGTTCGGAGATTTTATGATTTAGTAATTAGTAGTACTAATTTATAATTTTAATTTATGAGGTCACAGTTTAATTTTCAACCTCCTCCAATATATCCGGAAAAAAAAAAACATGATAAAGGCTCCATTAATTAATAAAAATCATTTTTCTGTATATACAAATTGTTAGGTGATACCATATTAAAAATTTTATTATAATATAAATAATATATAATATATAAATTAAAAAAAAAAATCGGCTGGCCAGTTAAGCCCTTTTTACACGGGTTGGTTTAAGAAAATTCTAACCCGTAGAAAAACGAGTCGGGCTGGCCCGCGTCGACAGTCTCCACCGGTTCAAAGACGCCGTCTTCCTCTTTAATTTAGGGTCATGTCAGCCCAGAGGGCTGTTATTCCCGCAACAATACTGGACGTCGCACCAGCATCCATAAGTAGAGAAACAGAAAGGAAAGCGGCGAATTGCCGGAGAAAGGAAACCGGCGAATAACCGGAGAGAAACACTGTGAAAGATCGAACGAAAACCTCGGACGTCCAAGGAGGGAGGCAAAAACCCTAGAGAGCTAGAGAGAATTGAAATTGTGTAATTAATCTTCCAACAGCATTTCTATATTATAAACCTTTTTAATTAAATAATAAATAATTATTGTTATTATTAAATATAAAAAAAATTAATTGTTTTGTTAATGTCCAATGCTTTAATTTAGTGAGACAAACAAGTAGAGCATAGGATAGCAGAATGGGGTGTTGTGTTGTGCTATAGGTAACTATGTGCACTCAAGCACAAATCATGTATTCATGTGCACCGTTTAAATGCCACTGAAATCTTGTCCACACTTCTATATTGCAGTGTAACACACTTATACACTGTACACTCTAATATTGCATTACACACACGTTTACATTGAAATACGCACATACACTTCATGCACCACCACTAGCAAGGAAAATAATGATAAAAATTCAAGATCACTTTAATGATTTTCAAAAAAGTTAGAAAGTCTATTCAACTCACCTCCCCTATAAACATTTTACTGTTTTGGGACTGGCACTAAATAATTAAATGTTATGCTATATTATGATCCATGTCGGAGCATTTTTATAATTATTTTATAATCATATATTATTTTTTTATCATATTGAAAACTAAATATCAGAGAAATACTATACAGATAACTAACATAATTTTATTCAATCAACCTCGCTAATTTTTATTTTTTAATGGTACAAGCTTATATTGAATGTATAACACAAAATTAATCAATAAATACATTACAAAAAAAAAACATTAATTAAATTCAAAATAATATGAAAAATAAAAATTAGGGACAGCATTTAGTTAAAAATTTAGTCCAATTGATATCAGTTGGTCATTATACTATGAGTGCATATAAATAATATTATTATATTAATCCATTCATCATCTCTAATATTTAAGAGATTTTTTAAGTGGAAGTATTTAAAAGTTTTAACCAAGTCAAATCATTGTATTTTTTACATCTATTGCAAATATCAATTGTACGCCCTCCCGTTGTTTGTAAATTATATTGTGGATTAAGATTATATTCACCCTGGGATGATGGTACATGTTATGTATTTGTAATTAACATATTATATACATATAAATACATTGATGGTATATAATAAGTTAACTTTAACAAATACATAATTCGTTAACTCAGATACATAATATGCAATACATAATTTGGACAGCGTTCATAATATCCATAGTGAACCTGGTCCATGATATAACAATTATCAATTCTTCTCTTCAATCATTTCCAATACTTAAGCAACCATTATATCATGGACCATGGTCCACTTTACAAGATAGATCATTAACAAAAGGTTCATTATTAATATGTTGAATATTCTTTTTTTAGTAAATTAAAAATTCATTTTATGAATGTTTATTTTGTGTATATTGAAAATTCATTTTTTGGTATACAATTAAAAAATAAACTTTCAAAATATTAAAAATTAATATTTAATATACTAAAAATAAACATTTATCTATGATATATATTATAATGTAGAATTGAACATCTGATGCCAAACGCATCGTTCAACGGATTAACGCCAGTTCCTACGAGACCCTACCTACTGGTATGGTGGCTAACGTGATCAATTAATGCGTAGGAGATGGATGAGGGCGAAGAATTGGTTGATTCATGTAAATTATGTGTTTAGAGAACAAAACAAAGTGGCCGATGCTTTGGCAAATTAAAGTTGGCTTTGAAATCTAGACACGATTTCTTGTTTCTTCCTCAACCAGAGAGCGAGATTTTTGGATTGCTTGACGATGATGTTTTGGGTGTTTCGGTTACCCGTTTTGTGAATACGGGAAACTAATCTTTGGGGTCTCCCTCCAGTTTGTATTTTAAAATAATAATAATAATAATAATAATAATAATAATAATAATAATAATAATAATAATAAAAAGTATATTTTTTCATACTTAAGTCCTTATGTAAATTAACTGAATTACCGCAGTGAAGAACTGAAGACTATGCACACCGCTACTGAAGAACCTGAATATCACATACAAATTTTTTCCATTCTGTGTTTAAATATAATAACACAATGTTACGACATTATAACAACTTGGCCTATTAGCTCAGCTGGTTAGAGTGTCGTGCTAATAACGCGAAGGTCGCAGGTTCGAGACCTGCATGGGCCAAATTTAATTTTACTACCCTCATGCGGCTCGTCTTCTTCGATACGCCATATGCCAATACAACAATTCCGGATTTAAAACATTAGGGAAAATAATTACAATTTTGGTTTTTAAATTGTTTTCTAACTCTCCTTTAATTTTCAATTTCAAATAATTTGATCCTCGAATTATTTAAAATTTTATCAATTAAATTCTTCTGATAAATCAAAATGGTGATTTTCTCATTTTTAAAATTTCTTCAATTTAATTGATGAAATTTTACAATTTGATAATCAAATTAGTTGAAATTGAAAACTAAGGACTACATTAATAGTTGGAAAACAATTGAGAGATCAAGATGGTGATTCTCCCATAATACAACTATTAAATAATATTAAGTTGTTCCAATACTACACCGATTTTTTTTTTTAAATACTACACTGATTTTAAACATTATACCAACAAAACATTAGAGACAAATTGAATGTGAACATTAATACATGTTTATTTTTAATATATCGAAAGTACGTTATTTGTGTATTGAAAATTCATTATTTAGTAATATATCAAATAATGAACTTTCAGTACTCAAACAATGTACCTTCAAAATAACCTTTTATGATATTAAAAATGTACATTTAACATATTCAAAAGTTTATTATTATTATTATTATTATTATTAACTTAAGAATTTAATATTTACTTTTTTTACATAAATATTAAAAATTATACTTAAACTACTAATTTGATTATAAGGTTGACTGGGTTTGAAAACGGGGATTAAATTTTCTACGGATACAGGGATGGAGAGAAGTTTCTATTACCCATCCCACTCTGTTATCATCCTTAAAGAGCCGAGAAAATGGTCATGCACATCACAACATTTTTGGCCCCCTTTAAAATCATAGCGATTTAGTACGCCAAAATGTTCTCCTGCGGATCCCCTACCCTCTCAAATCTTTTTACACTTGGCATTTTGAAGTTGGTTGATAGAGGAACATCCATGATTCTCCTTAGAGCATCCATAGCAATGCATTTTTCTTGGTTTTTGTTAGCCCAAAAAATTTGAGATGATTTTTGGATTGATTTTTCCTCCTGCAAAACACAAAATTTTTGTCAAATTTTTTTTTAAAAAAATAAACAAACAGCAGTGCGCTTGACACACACTGTCGCCCCAACAAGCGCGTGTTTCCGACGTGCCCGCTGGGGCGCTTCAGAGTGTCCACTCTGAAGAAGAAAGGTCTTTTAATTTTATTTTATTTTTTAGTTTGTCAATTTTTTTTTTTTTGTTTTTTACTTTTAGTTTTCTCCTTATTCTCTCTTCTACTGACACATAAAAAATCACAAAAAATCATGTGGATGCTCTTATGAAAAGAAGCACGAATTGGACGTAACTTTTGATATCACAAGTAATTCACCCTCCTCTTTCCAACACACTATTTCATCCATCCATTTTGCAACCCAAACCCTCCTTTTTCTACCACCTATCCCTGACCCCCACCCCCGGCCCCGAGCGAATTAGGAAAATATTATTTCTACTCTCAACTTTTACTCCATCTCACCAAATTTGATGTTGATATTTTCCTTAAGACCTATAGAATGAAGATAACTTATCATTCTTTGTCACGTCATGGAGTAGAAATAAGGAGTACATGTAGTAAAATTTGACAAATTATACCATGAACTAGGGTCACCTTGCATTATCTATTGGAGCACATGACATTTTGTACGATGGTTTTCCAGTTGTAAAGTCCACTGAGCCCTAAAAGCATAAGATTATGAAGAGAACCACACACGTGTGCACATCAGATATTATTCCATACTCAGTTCATTAAATATTATTCTCTAGATGTGGCTAACTGATCAACAATCTCCCTACATACAAATAAGTTGAAGAAGATTCATAGACACAACACAACACCCTTATATCTAAACACAATTCAACACAAGGTTACAACCCCTCTCTACATATCATCCAAGTTCCTCCAACCATAAAAGATCGGCCAACTGAGAAACAATGGACAATATTTTACTAATACCGCCTGACACCAGAATGGTCAGCTGCAGAATTTTCTTTTTTTTTTAACTAATGTAATTTTGAAATTAAAAACCGAGTTTTACTACTAAGTGGTTAGGTTAAACCCCTAAAGATCAATCTGCAACAATACAGCCGCAACTTCATTGATTACCCTCCATGGGCACTGCTTCCGATGGATGTGGAGCATCATTGCTGAGAAGTTGTTCGTTCTTACTGAGCCTCGGATCTTCATTCCCGGATGATTCACCAAGCCTCTCCTGCAAAGGCAATTTCTACATTCATACCCAGAATACTTCATTCTTAAAATTCATCAAAGATTCGGTTAAGTTACAAATAGTCATCAATGTCTCAGAACTTTAAAAAGTGTCCCTGATGTTATGATGTGTTTCAAACCCAACAGTCCAAAATTTTATCACGTTTCCAACAATCCCAGGCAACATGTTCATTGCAATTGCTGATTGAGGAACGAGGAAGGATAATTTGAAGTTTCTGCGTTCAGTTTTTATATTTAGGGTGATTCACAACACCCTAAATTGTAGCTCTGGACATTTGAAAATAGCCAGAATGTGACAAGAAATTAGGGTGGAATAGAAAAAAAAAAAAAAAAAAAAAAAAAAAAAAAAAAAAAAAGACAGAGAACAAAGTATAAAAGTAGAAATCTAACTGCAACCAAAATTAAAAAATCATTAGGATACTCCCCTTGTAACCAAAAGAAATGAGAAAAACCACTCATTCCAAATCAGGGCCAATTCCATTCTTTAGTGACTGAAGAATATTTACCCAGGAGTTAAAAGACACAGGAATACAGGATGTTGCATACAACCCCTAGAAGTATATAATTGTCGGAAGTTAAAAGACACAGGTAGTATTTTACCTTAAGAGATGCATTTTGAGCAAGAAGCTGATCATACTCACTCCTAATGCGACTCACTTCAGCTCTGAGAGAGGCATTTTCTTCCTTTAATGCTTCAGCACGCTGAGCAAGTTCTTCACACTCAGCCTGGCTCCCAAGAACAGCAAGAGATCAGGGATTTAGCAAGGACTGACATAACAGATAATAGAAGGCACTAATTTTACCTGCTTGCGCAACCTGGAACGACGAGCTGATTCCCTATTGGATTGCTTTCTTCTCTGCCTCTTGACCTCCCTTTCATCCTGAACACCAGGATAGAGATGACTACACAACATACTTATAGAAACAGAACCGCAAACTAATTGACCATGTACAAGCCGTAACATAATTCAAGTGATAACTTGTAGAATATTAAGTATTTAATGAAGATCAGAAGTCCATATGCATCTGTAAGTCTAATTTGTGTGTGCATGTGTCGCAGAGGAGCTACTTCGTTAGACACAGGCAGAGAAGATCATACAACAGCTGAGGTGAGGAAAATCACAATAGCCAAGGGAAGCCTCCTAACCTCAAGGCTCAAGGTTAGAATTCAATCCCTGAATGTACCCAACGACATAAAAATAAAATCAAATGGGTAAAAGATTAGTTATTAAAAGTCATCACTGCTTGACCAGAAAGTAAATAGGGGCATTCACAAAATTAATACACCATATCTATGTTGCACCTGGTCCTTTAAGAATTTATGGTATCTACAAAGGACACTAATGTCGGGTACTCGGGTCTATCTGTCAACACTCTTTCATGTATCAATTATATAAAACATGCATGTATGTTTCTGCAAGCTTCCTTTAATAGCTAAACAAATTTGATCAAGTTAAAAGCATTGATCCACCTCAAAAAGAAAATACAAGTAGCAAAAGAATCAAAGTAATCAAAAGAGAAAAGTAGAAAGGAGCAGAATATTAGAGGATATAAAAACCTGAGGCCAAAGCTGCGATTGAACACTCTCCCGTGATCCAGCAGTGACCATTCCACCAGCAACTGAAGCAGAAGGTACCTTGCCTCGGATTGAAGGGATAGGAGATGAGGCGGTAGTACCCCAGTAATCCATTCCAATATTCAAGTTTGTTGTGGGGCCAGGAACACCAACTGCAGCCCCAGCTGCAGAAAATGGAACAATTGCCACGGAATGGTTTATCAATTCATGAGCATTTGTCCCTCCATTCTGAGAACTGTGTGCGGTACCATTCTGAGATGTTTCAGCTGTAGCAAAATAAGATAATAATTTTATATAAATAAAATCAATTGTAAAGTAGCCTTTCATTTGCAAAGTGAAGTCATAATAGCACACCTGAATCTTGCCTGCCTCCAGATTTCATTTGTGATTCCTACATCAAAGAACCAGTAAAAAATCAGAAAATGAACATTACAATATATAGTTTGTAAAAAGTACATTGCAGAACAAGAAATTACTACACTAGTTAGCTGATAGACTAAAATTACGAGACAACCAAAATATATGCATCAAGGGGAAAAATGTATTTATGTGACATCAACTTTTTTTTTCCTGTAAATAAAATAAATAAATTCTATTACACCAATAACCATCTTTGGGTAGCATTTTCCACTAAAATTGCCATGGATAATTTACTAACCTAGAATAAAACAACTTTACACTGCATATCACCTACATTTTATACCAAAGTAAAAACATAGTACCTACATTTTGAGAATTTGCATCACTTCCTTCACTTGAGCCTTCACTTGCACTCTCTGCACTGCAAACTCAATGTTGGCAAATATTTAATATCAAAATACATAAATAGCACTAGGCATACAGATCAGTTTGATTGCCAAGAAAAGCAGAATAGCATCAGTTCACATAATGAATACATGCTAATGAATAATACTAAACAGAAACTTGAAGGAAAAAGAAAAAAAAAAATCAGGTTTGAATACATTGTACATCTGAAACAAGGAGAATTGTTGGTCAACAGAAACATTAGTTTTGGAACTGCATTAGAAGGGTAAGGAGATTGTTGCTAATTGATGCCAAATGTTAATCTGACTGTTTCAAAGAACATGAACCCTTTGTCTACTGAATAATCATTTATTATGATCATGCATCTAATCCAATCAACACATCACCATACCTTTTAGAATACCCTCCATTTGCAAAAGCTCCAGATGTTTTACCAGGTTCATTATTTTTCCGCGTAAGCATATTCAAACTACCCAAACTTCCCTTCGATCTTTTGATGGGCAATTTTTCTTTCCCCTCGGCCTTACCATCCACTTCCACAGTGCTGTGAGTATTAGCCTATAATGAAATTGAAAAACAAGAAACCAGTAGAAATTCAAAACCAATCTCAAAAAGGGTTTCAAAATTATAAAGTTTGGTACTCACTGAAGCATCAGCAACTCCGTTTGAAGATGGCACTGCAAAAGGACTGAATGGATATGATCCCTGATAAATTCAAAAAATGTCTAAGATAACAGAAATTAAGGTAATGCACTATAAGCTGAAAAGACATAGAAGAGGCCAAGAGAGAATACTGGAGGAATAGATGGATGGGCATATATGCCACCTGGTGGATACATTGCAATATAAGGATGAGGTGGGGTACCATAGGGTGGCATGAATTGCTGCATTACATGAGAAAATTGTCAAAACAGTTAAAACGAATTTGTTGGAGTCCAAACAGCAAAAAGAAAACAGACCTTCATGAACTGCCACAAAGAAATAACGCGGTATAAGAAATATAGTGTGATAACCCATTTTTGGACCATGGATTTTAGTTTTATATGCATTTTACAGCAACTATAGACAATCTGTATCTTGCCACATTATAATGTTTGAGGAAAAGTATTTGAAAAAGGAAACTACAACACGAATAATTTTTATTAAGAAATCAAGAGCAGAAGAATATAAATGAATTACCAATGAACCCTTTTTTTTTTAAAGTCATGATTAAGGTTGAGTGTGGCAGTAAATCATTTCAACAAATAGGCTCCAAATGAAGGGCAGGCTTTATCTTATGGATAAATCATATTCTATTAAAAGCTTCATACATGGAAAAGCTTATCCTTTGATAATCAAGTAGAGCTATAACAAAGGAGCCTGCAACCATCTTCTTCAGACAGAAACCTAGAGCACACATGCATATATTCTACAGATTGTCATTAGAATAACCTACAAACCCTCAAAATTGAAGTGCCTTTAGGTGCTAGAACTTTTCATTTTAAAAGTTTATTTTATAAAGGACACTTTTCAAGATAAGGCAAATTACAAAAGCAAATAGCAAAATATCCTCTTTAACCAAATCTGAAATACATAAATGAGGTAAATGTCTCAACATAAGGATATGAAGAGGCCATACAGACCTTTTGAGACAAGAGTGGGTCCTAACAACCCAAGCATTTCATTTTAACCATCAAAATTAGTATGATATTGAGCACTGCATAACATTTTCACTCGTTAGTATCTTTTATTCATTGGAGGGTTCTGAAACATATCAGGTTCACTCTGGGATTTATAATAAGACCAATGAAAACTAGTCAAGAAATTGATATGAATTTTAGCAGTAAAATTGCAACTACAAACAAATGAAGCTATTGTAGCTTGAAATTTCATTTGAAGCTTAGCTGTGAAGCAAATAGAAAACATCTGCTCAGATTTTTAAATATATGTATAATTAAGCCAGTCAAAAGGGTATCCAATTTCATTGCTGACCACGATCCATAAGGACTAAGGCAACAAATATGGGAAAAACATGAGAAAGTAGCTGAAGATATCAACCCAAAACAAACTAAGCTATCTGATTACCAAACAAGATATGAAGTATAAAATATTAAATTATAGAGAGAGATAAAGCATCACAAAGGAAAGCTTGATTTTGTTGGGATTAAAAATGGATGGGAAAGCAAATACCTTGGCAACAATACTTAAAACACCACATGCCAAGCAGTAATTGTAAACTAGACAATATCTCATAAATGCATTAAAAGAAGAAAAAAAAAAATGCAAATTGTAGTACCTGAACTCCCCACATATAAGGATGTGGTTGAGGACTTGATGCCAAGAACCCAGGTGGAGGCATAGGAGAATATGCCTGTAAATAATAGTCCAAGTTTAAACTACCAAAAATGAAATGTTAATAAATGAGGGAGAAAGTCACAACTGGACAACTAACCTGAAAACCAGACCAGTCTGGGTTGACTGTGCCAGTGGTTGATGGTGAAGCTTGCTCCTGTACAGCCCAAACAATCCAGAAACAGGAAATCATTCACCGATAACACAGTTAAACCCAGCATTTTTATTACACAAATGAAGTGCTGATAAAAAGTTATGATTACTTGTGAATTAGGAGTTTTTGGCTCCTTTGCTTCCTTTGCCTCCTTTGAGGATTTGCTCACCTCGCTACTACCCATAGTCCAGCTGCACCACTGCCTGAAAATCCCTCAAACCATCCTGCCAAAATGCATATATAAAGGATTCATTATAGCAAACACATATCAGCATGCACAAACAAACAAAAAAGAAGTTGGAAGCAGTACATTTATGTTTGTGCATATGTACTTACAAATCTAGGCATGCACGACATCAATATAAAAATGGTAGGATAAAAAGATAATAAGCATTAAGCAAAATGATAACATTCATAATCTAATGCCTCTCGAAATTTTATAATAACAATAATACCCCCTTAAAGAATGATCTTTTAAATTAAAAATCTTAAGAACATTTTACTTAGAATTTCGGCTCACAGCTAGAACAAGCAGCATCCACAATAGGTATCAATCTGAAAGACAAGAAAGAACCAAAATATAACAGAGATACAGATATATGCAACTAAACTTCTAAGGGTCTAATTTTATTTTAAAAGGGGAACCCCACAAATATATCAAAACTTATCAGAAAATTAGCCAAATTAGAAATGCACCTATCAAGAACATTCGTTCAAACAATTCACTAGCTATCCTTAATTTTTTACTATCTCTACATTTACAGCATCTTAAACAAACAGATAGTTGCAATTAACGCAGACTAACCCTGCAAATTCGTGAGAAAATGAATTCAAAAATTGTGAAATTATACGAATTTTTTTATCACCGCAGAGATTCGACGAATCTGAGGAAGTGATGCTCAGTTTCACTTCAGCTCCGAGTGCGCTCAGTCCCGGCTAAAACTCAACAAGTGGTATGCGCGTGTGAGTATGTGTATATGTAAAGATGAAATGCGTGAAAGCGATGTGGAGGGACAAAGAAGGGTATTTTCCGGCGTCGGGAGAGCAACGAGGGATTTGACGGTGAGATCGTCGTTCGTCGACACGGCAAGTCGCGCTTTCCCCAGAGAAATTGCAGAGCAATAGGGGGGGAGAGCGCTAGGTGGTCGTCTGCTCGATTGGTTGCCCTTGTGGACTCACTTTGACGGCTCAGATTCATTTCTGATTAATGTACGGTCCAACAATAATATTTTTTTGTAAACTTTTTCAAAACCCTTTTTACTATTTTTTTTACAAATACAAATTCTACCGGGGTGAAACAAAGGGTCGTTATATTGTGGACCGCGGTCAAAACGGCGCTGTTTTTTTAAGTAAAGAAACAACGTGCTGTTAGTTTTAATGAAACGCGCATTTTTTTGTATGTTAATTACCAATTGACACTATAGTATATCTAAACCGACACTGTCTCATGTATTATTTTTATATTATCAAATGAAATTGCAGTTATATCAAAATGATACTGTAGTTGTGGTGAAATGAAACTGCAGTGTATATAAAATGAAACTGAATAACATTTCACATATTTGAGTGTATATTGTACAATGAAGCTGTAATTATATCAAAATGATTATGTAGTTGTGTTTTAAATTTTAATAAAACTATAGTGTATATAAAATAAAATTAAATAACATTTTCACATATTTGAGTCTATAAATATCGAATGAAACTGTAGTTATATTGAAATGAAACTGTAGTTGTGTTTAACTGAAACTGCAGTGTATACAAAATGAAACTGAATAACAAAGTTACTTTTTGCGGAAGGGTGCGGAACGGCGAGAAACGGATGCTGTTTCTTTCTATTAAACAAAATGACGTCGTTTTGATGCGCGGTACATAATTGATTATGCACCGCGGTGCACGATATAATTTCCCGAACACAAAGACCTGTCAATACGGATAGGTGGTGCGAGTGAAAGCCCGCAGCCGCGCCGCGGCCTAGCAGGGGGTTGCCAGTGGCCTGGCCCACTCAATCCAGCTTATAGGCCCATAGGGCTAGGAATGACCACGGTTCAATTGTGGAGGTTCTCGATTCCGGAATCGAAATCGTTAGTTCGAATTGATTTTTTTAAATTCTATTTTATTCTGTTTTTCAAATAGTTCAAATTCAACAATTAATTTTTTTAAAAAAAAAATTCATTCTAATTTTTTTTTTAGAATAGTTATATCAAATATTTAAATTTTAAAGTTAAACAAAAAATTTTTGTTATAGTTAAACTTTAAATTGTTATTTAAAGTTTAAACTTTAATCAAATAATAGTTAAACTTGCCAACTACTATGTAGTGTAATGACACCTCTATTACCATTCCAAATTGGTGGTCCCAGGATCGAACCAGAACATATACTACCTTGTAAAAAATCAAGTATTCAAAAAAATAATAGTTAAACTTTACATTTTTTTAGTACAGTTTGGAATCGAAACCATAACCAAAATCGTCGATTTCGGTTTCGATTTGATTCTTATAATACATGATTCGGTTTGAACCAAACCTCAATGTAAACGTACTAACTCCCAAGTTTTAGAAGAATAGAGTGCTTCTATTTCATCAACCATAGCTTGCTACCAGCCTAGATAAGTTAATGTCTCCTTAACACTCTTAGGAACATAAACAGAAGATAAATTAGTAATGAAAGCACAATACGATGAAAATAGTCATTTTTGTGTAATAAATTATAGATAGGATAAAGATTGTGAGTGGATCAGGTACATATTCGACTTGCGATGAGGTTTTGGACTATATCAGGAGACAATGATGATGTAGGACATGAATCAACCAGATGTCCACCTTCTTTACGAATCAAGTGTTTGAATCTTTGATAATTGTTTTATTGGTAAGTGTATAAGAGTAGTGGAATATGTTATTCCTATTGAATGGTTGGTATTAGTGCAATTATTTCAAGTATGGTGAGAGATATAGGTTTTTTTTTTTTTTTTTAAAAAAAAACATGAACATGGAGTATTTTTTGCGACTTCAATGGGTTCCCCTACGAAGTCAAACTCAACAACAAAGGTGGAAGAGAAAGAAAATGCATTGTTTCAAAGAAAGTAACATCAAAGGAAGCATGGAAATGTGTGTTTTATGATAGTAACACCTAAAACCTTTTTGAAGGTGAGAACAACATCCAATGAAAACACATTTTATTGCCTTGGCATTCAGTTTGTCAAGCTTAGGGGAAACATCATGAATGAAGCAAGTACACCCAAAGATTCACAATGGAAACTTATAGTGAGGTTCCCATGGAGTAAGATGTTAAGAGAAATTTCTCCTTACGAAACAAATGAAGGCATTTGATTTATGAGATAACAAGAGTAAAGTACAACGTATCACCAAAATTTCTTAGGGACCTTATCATGAATAAGCCAAGTTAGGGTTGTGTCAACAAGACGTTGAATCTTCCATTCAACAACTCCATTTTGTTGAGGAGTTCTAGTACATGTATTTCATGTGAAGAAAAGAATGAAGTGAAGGGGTAAAAAAGCACTCTTTCACATGATCACAACTAAGGATTTCATAGATACTCTAAATTGATTCAAAATCTCATTGTAGAATTTTTAAAACACATCAAATAATTCAAAACAATTTATCATAAAAAAGATCAAGGTGCAACAAAAAAAATACTCAATAAAGACAACAAAATATAAGAAGCCCAAAGTAGTCAAAACTTGACATAATCCCCAAATATCAAAGTGTACTAAAGAAAACAGGGTATTAACCCCCTATTCACTCTTCTAGGATATGAGGCTCTTGAATGTTTCCCTAGTTGACATGATTCACATTATACTGACAAGTCAAGAACAAGTTGTTGTAATTTATTTAAGCTAGGATGTCTCAAGCGGTATTGGTCAATGAGAGGTGAAACAATAGTAGTGCAAGATGTGTTGGCATCGGTGGAGCATAAGATATCATAAAGTCCTCATGATTTATATCTCGTACTAATCATCTCTCTCGTATGTTGGTCCTGAACAACCACAAAATCATAAGAAAATATAATAAAACACTTAATATAATAGAGCGAGTAAGCTAATGAATTGTGTTGGTCCCGATGAATATGGGTTCAAGTCTATAGGGGGAGGGGGTGAATATACTTGAATGATTTTGAAAAACTTATCAAAGTAACACAATGAAAAATATGTGTTACCCCTTTTTTAAAGTTTGTTTGCACGTATTTTACTCATGTAAACTTTAGGTTTGATTGGTTAAATACTTGAAAGTAAATAACGATAAGTAAAGAGAGTGAGAGAGAGATTTTTGAAGTGATTTGGCCAAAACCCAGCCTACATCCACTCTTCTCCTTAAACTTCAAGGAGGATTGCATTATCACAACTAGTACAATAAAAGACCACTTAAGCCTTGAACACAAAGCCACCCTTGAGTGTATAGGTTTTTCACCACCTACACTTGTTACTACGCCTCTTTCTACTAATCCAAGTAGAGATTGTTAGAATGAACATAGAGTTGTTCAGAATCTCCAACTATAGACTCATAATTGGATCTTCTTGTTTGTTGTCGTAGTCTTGAGCTTGATATTTCGTTGTAGCCATTGCTCTCTCACCTCACTAGCTCTTATTGTTTCTTGTAAGTTATTTGCACTTAACACTTGTTTTCTAAAAATCGCCAGCCCTCATTCATATTTAAATGTGGGTATTTATAGACGGTCTTGAAATTTGACCGTTAGAGGGAAATAAATTTCAAACGTCTTTTATCCAATGTGCAATATCTAGTGTGTAGAACGTAGTATGTTGCTTTTGTCAGATTTCCAACTCTTGGAGTATTTTTGTGTCTGATTAAACCTTTTGTCTCCACAAAACACCTTCGGTCTTTTTGGGAAATCTTCCTTTGGAAATGTACATAGGACACCTTTTTGCCTTGGTAACATTCTTCCTGCACTTTGAGGTTGTTAACTGTTCACTCAGAGAATGTTCGAACAGTAGCGTACGCGGAGCCACTTTTACTCTTCAAATAGTAACTATTCATATCAAACCTTATCAACCCTTTAGATTTGACATTCCTTAGTCATTCCTTACTCCTTGGAAATTAACTTCTCACTTGAAGTTAACTTTCTGTGTCCCCTTACTATCTGGCTAAGGTTGACATTTCCACTATTCAGTCAAACCTTCTAGTATTGTATACTTCGTATTCAACTCTTCGAGTCTTATACTCTTTAAGTCTTCAACTCTTCATCTTCTACTCTTTGAATTTTCAAGTCTTCATCTGGCACTTTGACTTCTTGTGGCTTGACTTCTCGACCCTTTGTAGTCTTGATTATTTGACTACTCGACTCTTTGTAATCTGACTACTCGAAGGTCTTAGTCTAACTTGACTTCTCGTAGGTTTACTCTTCGAATTAATTTTGCTTTTTGGTTAGTTCACTTCCTAGTTGGTAAAATTTATTTTCTAAGTTACCTTTCGAAGCCTTACAAAAATGATTGCTCAAAGTCTAAAGAAAAATCCTAAGGTTACTTCTCGAATTGGTTTGACTTTCCAGATTAATTACTCTTCGGTGGGAATAGTTTCATTTGCTAAGTTATCATTCAGATTCTTAATTCTAAGTAATCATTTGGAGACTAAATTTCCTAACATTGTTGGTATAATCAAAATCTAAAGTATAATGTTCCTAACAAATTGAAAGGACAACTAAGAATATATAAGACATTGGATAATGATAGAGAATGAATAGTGACTTTTCTAATTTCTTTTACATTTCTTTTTGATTTGTCACAAAAGGTAAGATATCGAAGCGATTCTAAAAAGTCAATATGGGAGGAAAAAAAAAGAGGGATTACCATAGATATGCATGGTGAGTGGCTCCAAAGTCTAAGACCCAAACTGAGTTGAATTATAAATCAAGAGTAGTGTGAGACGTATCAGGAGAAATGGTGGTCATGACAGCCTTTAGTTGTAAGAATTCCAAATACTCAACCTTTAAAATAATATATCTATTTGAGTTCTGAGTACTTGGACTTCCAAATATATACTGACCTACGTTAACTATGGTTGGTTTTCTATAGAGTTTCCAACATACCTCATAGGTGTGCCCTTATTTTTACAAAAAAAAAAAAAAAAATCAAATAAATGAGATGAGGAATTTCGTTCTCCCCATCTAATACTTCATTGCCATCTTCATCAATTGTTACCATGATAAGTTTGAGAAGTAAGAGCAAAGTGTTCAAATGTGGTGGAGGATGATGCATTCTCTTTGTAAATAGAAGAGACTTGAAGAAGTCTCTTAAACATTTCTTTGGTACTTAGAATAATTTCATCACCGAGTATTTTGTTATAGACTTCCTCAAACTCCAATTCGAGTTTAGAAAGTGTAAGGACAACAAAGAACTTGTCACATTGGGTAAATTATTGTATTTGTGATCTTTCAATGGGCATGATTTTATTGAATTTAGCCATTAGTCCTTGAATTTTCCCAAAAAATTTACCCATCAACATTTTTTACTTCTTGATATTCAATATCTCACTAGTAATAAAGTTGAAGCGAGAGATATCATTTGTATAAAATGAGTTTGTTTCGATATAGAAAAAACAAGTTTCGAATAGTTTAAAATAGAAATCAAATTAGAAGCAAGTGATTGCCATAGTAAGTTGTAGAGTTGGGCATCAACTCTTTCCCGAACATTTTTTTCATGCTGCATTTCTTCTACTTGTGTAGGGAGATGATCAAAACCCCTTGTCACATAAACCATAATTCCACTATAGCGGCCCGATCTTGACAATTTTGGGACCCAATGAGTTTCTCATTAGTGATCACTAAGTTCCCTAAGAAATTTGAGTTTCTCATTAGTGATCACTAAGTTCCCTAAGAAATTTGGAACATAGACTTTAGGTTGGGTAGGATGATTTTTGACACTATTTAAAACTGTCTTCGAACATTATTATTAGAAAAAATGAGAAAATTACCAGAGGGTCATATACGAGGGATTAGAGAATATGGGGAATTTAGCCATAAAAGGTCGTTAAAAGAGAGCTCATGTGCTGGCGCATGGAGGCAAGTGCGGCGTTAGAAATATGTCGACATGTTGATACATGCAGGGACTAGAAAAAAGATGAGCAAAGTTGTCGTGCTCCTCTGGAAGGTTTGTTATACCAATGTTGTGAAGGAAGCTCTTAGTATTGCGCAATATAGAAAATTGTTTAATGATGAACAATATTTGTACTATTTACCTAATGAAAATCAAAGAAAATTTCAAGCCTTAAAAATGAGGATTTGATATCATGTTTATAAAGTGTTGAGAAGCATTTTAAATATTGTTCTTATTTAGTTTCCACACTACATATTACACTACATACACATAGACATACAAAGAAGACAATGGAGTAGATGTTTAATAAACACTAAATTCAATAAATTGCTCAAGTTAACAACTTCTGACTGTGGCCACTATTTTGCAAAGGCCACGTTGCTAAAGGAAATAAGACTGCTAAAGACAAATATATCCAACATGAACCAATTTCTCAACACTTTTTTTTTTTGAATGCTACTAGCTCTATTACATTGTAGTATCTGTTCATATACTTTCTCAACCTACTGAAACACAAAGAGCTAATAACACCTCCACTGAGGCTCGAACTTACAACCTTCCAAATGGAAGTCCAACCAAAAAGTGTTAAATATACCAAAACACCAAACATAGGCTCATCAATGATTGTCCTTATATTTCAAGGAATCCAAAAATCATCAAATTAAAAATGTGGTATCTATATCAAAGACATCATTCAAAACATACATCCAACCATAATACAAAATAAAGATATATAAACTTAATAAATATAGATAAATTTCTTTAGATAAGTATTTTTCCATTGAAGTTTTTGAAAATTAAATAGTAAATAATTAAGTATCAAATTATCACAAACTTATTGAAATACGAGCAATAATGCATAGGGGTGTCAAAGTGGGTCAAAGCTCGCGAGTTAGGATCTAAAATATTTGGCGCACGAAAATGCGGGTCTCGTGGGCTTGGCAATCTCATGGGTCAACCCGCAGTCTAACCATATTTTTTTTAAAAAAATAGATTATATATATACACACTGATAGTGTAAATTGAACAGGGAGTTACGATTACACTACGAATACTTATGTTTGCGAACGAGTAAAACAGAGCGCTCGCAGGTCAGTCGGTAGGTCGGTCGGTCTACCGGGCGACGACTGAGCGATCCGAGGTTGAATAGTATTACAAGTATCAAGTGGTTACAAGTATTGAGTTACAATGTAATGAGTAGTGTTTGTACTCAGATGAAGATATCCGAAATAGGAGGAGACCCTCCTATTTATACTGTCTAAGTCGGTCTATGCATTTAATGCGCCTGCTGCAAGTGGATCGATGTGGCTTCTTCTCGTTGGCTCAGTCAGGCGGTCGCTCTGCAACTATGCATAGGTTGACTGATCGATGAGGCGGAGCCGCTACTTTTGCAGGTTGTCAGCCACCACTCTGCAGGCGCAAGTTGGCCCTTATAACTTGTCGTGTAAGTTACGTTTTTGGCTCTGCAAGCTACGTCATCTCGCAGCCCGACCGATCACCCTACGGTAGACCGGCCGGGTGACTTTCTGTCGGGGCGATTTCAAGGATGATTCGAGAGCATCTCCTCTTGTCACGAGGTCTATCGGTACGAACGGTACAGTTGACCACAAGTGTTTTAGTCCTGTCGGGCTGATGACCGTGACAGACCGGTTGGATGACTTCTTGACGGATCGGTCATACGGATCAGTCTTCTGTACGTATTTACCATCACCTACCCTGCTAAATATATGAAAATCTAACTATATTATTATATTGTATATTTAATGGCACATATGTGACTATCTCAAAAAAGAGGTCATATATTTGAACCTAAGTGAAGACATAGACTCTGTGTTATTATTTAGATTGAGAAAGTATATATAAACATATACTACATCATAATAAAATCAATAGTACTAAAAAAAAAAAAAATTATTCCGTGCAACACAGAGATAAAATATTAATTAATATTAGAGGTATCAACAAATACAGTTTATCAAAAAAATAAAAAACAAAAAACAAAAAACAAAAAACAAATACGAGTTTTGATATAAATATGAAATTTCCCTAATCAAGAAAAAGGTTTGGCGTATTATTACGTACTTGGTCATACACTGGTACGGAGTATATAAGATAAGGGCAGAGTTCATTGATTTACTGCTAAAAATTAAAAGAACAAAAAAGAAAAAAAAAACCTAATCCAAAGATCTCTCCTCTTCTCAGCAGCAAGAACACTCGGCCATGGGTTACGAAAACGATCCGTAAGTTTTTCCTTCGGTTTCAATCGATTTCTCATGTTCTTTTTGTTTGTTATGTAGTGAATTTCGTGGTTGATCCGATGTTGATGAGTTTGAATTAGGGTTTGGGTGTTGAATACTTTTCGGTTATTTTCGATCTTGCAGGTACAGAGACGAGGACGGAGAGGGATTGGTGGACTTTGATGAGGATATCCAGTCCGATCACGATCCCCAGGACAATATCCTTGATGACGATGGATGGGACCAGCGGCAGCGCGAACGCTCGCCGACCCCTGTTTATGACGACGATTACAAATCGAAGCCCCGGAAGCGGTTGATTAAGAAGTCCGGTGGTGGGAAAGAGACCGCACCGGATCTTGGGTTTGCGGATGAGGATGCTTATGATGATGGGATGGCGGGGATGGTAAGAGATGAGTCTGATGGCGGTGGACCTTCGTATTCTGACGGTGGGAAGAGGAAACGGTTTGAGAAGGAGAGCGGTGGGGAGAAGAGGAAAGAGAAGAAGAGGGATAAAGGTGAGAAAAAGTTCAAGGTGAGGAAGAATGGAGGAGGGTACTCTGGCGCAGGCCGGAGGGGCAATGATGGTGATCAGGAGCTGAAGGAGTTGTGGGACACTGTTGCTGGGGGAGATTCTGAGGTTTGTGGCTCTGTTATTTATGTTCCATTTCAATTATATTGTTTTTGGCTACTAACTATAATATGAAATTTTTGGTATTTATCCGGTGTATTTGATGGTTTTATGTTATAGTAGGGAGCATTTGAATTGGTTGATCCAACTGTAGCATTGAAGAATTATGAAACAAATAAATACACAATTTATAGATGAGTTTTAGAAATGTTGTCAATATTGCAGTTTTAAAATTTGATATATTCACTCGGAATGTCTCAAAAGTTGGTCAAGATAACTGGGTTATGATTGAAATGTTTGGCTTTACTTTATATGGTTTCTTGGCTTAGAGATAACCAGTGTGATGGAGTTCATTTCTGCTGCAATACTTGATTTAAAGTTACTAAGCTAAATTATTAGGTTATCTTTTTAACTCAATCTGGTTAGTCAGCAGTGGGGTTCCATAAACAAACAAAATCTAGGTTACAGTTTTTGAAAGTGGAACAGGGGGATCTCCTCATGATGTTTTTGTGATGACAACATGAGTTTCCCACTGAATGCATCAAAGTCATTGCACTTGATTTTTGGTGACATTATGGCTCATGATTAATTTGTTTGTTTTTGAATGCTGTAGGATGACCGAGATGGTGCTAAGACAGTGGATGACGATAACTTCATAGATGATAGTGGTTTAGATCCTGCTGACAGATACGGAAGTGACCATGAACAACGATCTCCTGGAAGCTATCCACAGGTGACAATTCTATATTTCTATTGCTGTATTTGTTTCTTTTCTGATTGCAGGTCATTGGAATTTACTGTTCATTATACATTATTAGTTGTTTGTCTTTTCTGAGTTTCCTTTGTCTTTGTTTCCATATGGGAGCTGTATGACTTTTTTTCCATTGCATTGCACTGGAAGCTTCCTGATTTATGTTTCAGTCTTTGGTATGGCAATGTGGTTGCCTAGTGGTTGTTTAACTTTTTCCTGTTTTACTATTGCTAGGCAGAAGAAGGCGAAGAAGATGACGAGATAAAGGAACTATTCAAGATGGGAAAGAAAAAAAAGAAAAATGAAAAAAGTGCCCAAGAGATTTCATTATTAGTTGAGAATGTCATGGCAGAACTAGAAGTTGTTGCAGAAGAAGATGCTGAGCTGAATAGACAGTCTAAACCTGCTATCAATAAACTTAAAAAGCTGCCTCTTCTTACAGATGTCCTGTCAAAGTGAGTGGACTTGTCAGTTTTTTTTTTTTTTAAATCTAATTTCGTGGAAGTCATTTATCTTTGTTTGCTTGAGGGCAACTTTAGTGTTGCCTATCTTAATTTTCTCTCCTATGATTTGCAGGAAACAACTTCAGCAGGAATTTTTAGATCATGGAGTGTTAACACTTCTAAAGAATTGGCTTGAGCCCCTTCCAGATGGAAGCCTGCCCAACATAAATATCCGGGCAGCAATCTTAAAGATCCTGACAGATGTATGGAATATGAATTTGTTCATGTGAAGTTATCATTGATTCTTTATTATTGTTCGTTCACTGGAACTGGTGTGTTTATCCTGCAGTATCCAATTGATTTAGAACAGTATGATAGAAGGGAACAGCTGAAAAAGAGTGGCCTTGGAAAGGTTAGTTCAACCCTAAGTAGATCATGCCATGAATAGTATTTTTTTCTGTAATTGTTTTTGTAAGAGAGTACTTCACTATAATTTCTACCTGTCTGCAGGTTATTATGTTTCTCTCTAAGTCAGATGAAGAGACCACATCTAATCGGAAACTTGCCAAGGACTTGGTTGATAAATGGGTAAATGTGATTTATATTTGTTATTATATTTTTCCTTTCTTTGAAGTGAAAAGTGAAAAGGAATGAGGCCTTTTTTTGTTCATAGTAGTTCATTTTGAGAAATGAACTGTTATATTCCTTAACAAATTCACTGATTCATGGTGTGATGTCATGTGCGGCTATTTCTGTCCATTTTATAGCTGAAGCTGAAGTATTAGGTTAGAAACAATAGACCTGGCAGAATCTAGAAATTGTTTGCATATTAAGGGATAATATGATGTTGTATTCTCATCTATCAATCAACTTTTGGTGAGGCACAATTTCTGCTGGTTCATTTGAATATGAGCAAATTTCAATTGCCTGGAAAATCACTTGGATGTTGTCTCCTATGCTGTGTGTTGTGATATTAGTCTATGTCGAAATCTTCAGTCTCTGGTTAGATTTAACTAAAGTGTCAGTAATTTTGTGGTTCAAAATGATTAATAATCTGCTTCGTTATTTGACTTTCACTCAATTGATCCCAGAGTCGACCCATTTTCAACAAGAGTACAAGGTTTGAGGACATGAAGAACTATGAAGAAGAGAGGGCTGCTTATAGAAGGCCACCTGTGAAAAAGTATCTATTCATCTCATTCTAGATTCAGTTGTGTTTGTATGAGCTTTTGATTTATCTGGACTCGTTGAGGTAACTTTTGCTGCATGATAGGCCAATGAACAAAGCTTCAGGAATGCAGTCTAGGGATGATGACCTTGATTTGGCTGAATTTTCACAGTAAGAATTCTGCATCATACCTGTTCCAACTCTAGGAAGGGTGCCTTCTTTACTCAAGTACCGTACTCTGTTGATTCCTGAGGTTTAATCTTTATTGAAATATGCAGGGGGCAAAAGTCTGGTCAGTCATCCACCAGGCAACTTACTTCCAGACCTGAAGCTATGTCAATGGATTTTGTGGTTCGTCCTCAGTCAAAGGTTGATCCAGAGGAGGTTAGGGCGAGGGCAAAACAGGTTGTGCTAGACCAGAGGCGACAGAAGGTTTGCCTACTTGTCACCCTTATTGATAGGTTAAGATTTTAAGAAATTAATTTTAGTTTAAACAAAATAAATATCTGAAAAAGAATACCATGTATGATATCTGCTAATTATTTTTGTTTGGGGTGCTGGGAAATGGAAATTGCCTCCTCTCATAATTCCTGGTTATTACTTTTAGTGAGCTGCTGAGCTTCTCTGCCCAAGTGCACTGCTATGCTTAAATATTTTATTTCCTTCCAAGTGTATTTGTAGGAGTAATAATGAGCTGGTTTAATACATGGTCCTAAATGTGAGAGTGGCCGAAACAAAGACATTATAAAAAGGATATGATAATTCATCGACACATCTTGTTTGAGAAAACTTCTATTTTTGAGATATAACACGAATAGAGGTAGAACCAAGATACATTAGTATGGACATATGTGGAAGGTGTAAACAGATTGAATGTATAGGTGAAGTTTTGATTCTATGTTGTATGTTTTGCTGGAAATGATGATGTTAGATGCAATTAGCATCATTCATTCCTGGACATCTCTCATCTAGCTAGCTACTCTCAACTTGCAGATGAATAAGAGATTACAGCAACTGAAAGCACCTAAAAAGAAGAGTCTTCAAGCATCAAAAATCAGTGTGGAGGGCCGTGGGATGGTTAAGTATCTGTAATGTTTTTGCTTGTTACGAACACCAAGCGGTGGATCATTTGCTGCTTCTGCTTCTGCTTCTGGCGGACAACGACAAAGGAAAATGTGATCCATCAAATAAGAAATGCAAAGTGATAAGTTTGCTTGTGCAATTTCAACCTCCAACAACTTTCCAACTTTGGCTGTCAGCTTCTTTAAATGTTTACTGATACAGGCTGCCTGACATCATATTCCCAGATGATAATGTATGATCATTGCTCTTAATTCAAAGGATGTTTTTTTTTTTTTTTTTCTTTTTGCATTTGCCTTTAATATGATTAGTGTTAATAATGTTTTATTGTTATATTAGAAGATCAATAAAATTCTCATCATTGAGTTGATGTATTATATCGATATTTCTTAAGACATTAATCATAGTATTCCTACTACTACTACTTTTAGTCATGGGAAGAATTTTAATAAAGAAGTCAAAGGATAAGGCATTTTTTATTATGAAATGAATGATTTGTTAGCTAGCTATATATAGGCCTTTTCTTGTGGAATTCATATTATAAATTTATAATATTGAAAAGTATATGAAAATTTGAGTGATATGATTTAGATATGGTAAACAATTAAATCTAAATTTGATAATATTTAATATATACTTACAAAAAGGATAATTTTGTTCGATAAAAATGATACTATAATATTTGTAGCATATTGTACAACTCATAAGTATAGAAATACATAGTATTAACCCTTAGATTTTATTATATAATAATACGGAGTAATAACTATAATAATATAAATTATTTTTTATAAATTTGATATTTATATTTTTGAAAATAACTAATTAATAATTAATTCTTACAAACTAAAATGTAAATTTAATTTATTTATTATATTTTTCTAATATAATGTTTACATATATTAAGATTATAAGAAAAGATATGGTGAATTTACATATGCATTATAAAACAAATCTTTCTCTCTAATCTTTGGATGTGGGGCACATCAACATTTTGTGGAATATAAAGTCACAACAGCACATCTTGGCCCTGTTTGTTAAAAAATTGGCCTTATAGGTCAATTTTGGCTTATTTGACCACTATTAATGGTTTGATTTAGTTAAAATATCAATATAAATGTTTGGTTAATTAGCTTTTTGTAACTCCAAAATGTTAAAATTCAAAAAGCTATTCCAAGCAACTTTTTCAATTAACTTTTTGAGAAAAGAAATTATACCAAACAGCTATCAGTTAACAGCTAATTTACCAAATACTTTTCTACCATCAGCTAATGTTATCAACTATTTATACCCTCCAATTAACACAATCAGCCAATAGCTAACAACTATCAGCTAACAGCCATTTTACCAAATAGGGCCCTTACCTTTGGCAAAGAGATGAAGGATGCTTCACAGAAACTACTTTTGCAAGGTGATAACTTAAATTTATATGTTCACCTCTGTTTTGTAAAACTTAGGTTTACATAAACAATGTATATATTTCAGCTGAAGAAAAACAAAATTGTTCATATTATGACAGGATTAGTCATGCAGGTCCTGATATTACAATCCTGGGCTGGCAACAAATTTAACTCCGATTTTGTTTCAGGGGAGAGTCCAATTCCAAGCTTGCTTGTTCGGTTCACTTTCCAATCTAATTTTAAGTTGTCAACCGGTTAGATAAAAAAATGGCTCAGCTGTCCACTTGAGTGGAGTGTTAATAGTCTCACATTGGAAAGATAGAACATATTGGTTTATAAAGTCATGATTAGACTATGCGGTTTGATGTTAGTTCAGTTCAGTTCTGTTCTTCTTCCTTTAGTTCAATTTGTAAACATATTCCAAAAATGCAGTAGTAGTGCAATTCATTTTAAGAGTTTTACAGGGCATGATAGAAAGGGGCACAAGTTAACCAACATGGTTGGCGTAGTGGTTCAGCACCTTGTCCCTTAAGCATCCCCTACCACTTAGTGTGCTGACAGTAGGGACGGGGGATTAGTCTGATAGCTGGAGGGATACCTTTAGGCAACAAAAAAAAGAAAGGGGCACAAGTTCTTTAAACAAAGAGAGATTATATATATTCACCAGTAATCTCTACATGAACAAGATCCATCTTTAAAATGGTGAAATCGATTCCGATCTCTAACAACGATTTCTCTTTCATAGATTGTAGAAATAAATTTAGTGTACGTGTGACAATCGCTACACATTCTCACGTTTCTTACGATCCTTACAGATGATCCCTGCGATGTGTGTATTAGCGCAAACGCAATGGCCAGCTTTTGGCTGTGATTACCGAGTCTCTGCCTCTTCTCTTCTTCGTCAACGTCCATCAATACCTGTGATGTATCGGGTGAGTAGCCTTCGAATTTCAGTTGCCACTCCATCTGGTGAAGCATTTCATAGACGCCCTCGCACTGGGGATAAGACATATCTTGTGATACAAACTTGTAGACCTTTCGGTTTACCTCAACCGTGCAAGAGCCGGGTTCTTGTTTTAGACCCTTGTTAGCCATTTCGGTTCGAATCATAGCCATTTCTTGCCATCTCTGAGCTTTTGCATACATATTCGATAGCATCAGATAGTCACTAGGGTTCTGTGGCTTTAGCTCGAACAGATTCTTTGCTGCAACTTCCCCCAACTCGACGTTCTGGTGAGCTCTGCATGCACTTAGCAGGCTACGCCACAGAACGTCGTTTGGCTCGATAGGTATGGTGTTGATTAGCTCGAAAGCTTCATCTAGGAAGCCTGCATTTCCCAGGAGATCTACCATGCACCCGTAATGCTGAACCGTTGGTTTGATCTCGTGCTCCGATAACATCCTCTCGAAACATCTTATCCCTTCTTTGGTTAAGCCAGAATGACTACAAGCGGTCAAGACGCTCACATAAGTGACACCATCCGGCTCTAAACCCTCGTCTAGCATTTGCCCGAACACCCTTAGGGCCTCGTGCCCGTGCCCGTGCAAGGCAAGGCCAGTGATCACGACGCTATATGACATCCGGTTCTTCTTTGTCATACTTTGGAAGAGACACAGCCCTTTCTCTAGGCACCCACATTTTACATACATGTCTATTAAGGATGTCTGTACTATGATGTTGAGTCCATTCATGTTCCTTACCAGATGCCCATGAATGGACCGCCCCGAATCGAGGGCACCTAAATGTGTACAAGCAGATAACACACTTACTAAGACACTTTCCTCTGCCCTAAACACTCCCCCAGAGTTCATTTCATTGAAAACCCTAAGGCAGTCTGGCCACATGCCCAAATTTGCATAGCCTGCTATAAGGGCACTCCAAGAAGCCACTGTTCTGTGAGGCATTTTGTCAAACACCTCACAGGCACGCCTTATCTCCCCGCATTTCCCATACATATTGATCAAACTGTTCTGCACAAACACATCTTCCTCAACCTCAACCCCAAACTTCAAAATCTGCCCATGAATCTGCATTCCTTCTGGAAGAGCCCGGAGATGAGCACAGGCCTTAAGCAGAGCAGGAAACGTGAAATTATCCGGCATCACCTCATCCTCTACCATGTCAATGTACAAGAATATAGCCTCTTCTGGGTTCATATCCTTCACCTGGGCCCTAATCATTGTGTTGAACTCAAACGAATCTGGATCATCCATTTCCTGAAAAATTTTGCAGGCGTAATCCATGCTGCACCATTCTGAGAGCGCACAAGTGGCTAGAAGATTGCTTGCGCAGAAGGAGGAGGCGCTGAACAGCCCCAGCTTGAGGATATGGCCATGGACTTGCTTCAATTCTTTCATGCTCTTGCATTTCTTGATCACAGAGATCCATTCCTGCTCCTTCAAGCTGGAGCTTAACTCTTTATGATCTTCTTTCAGTATCAATAGGGGTGTTTGAGGAAGGACTGATGTCCCGGCCATCCTGTGATCTACACCATCTTGTTATAGTGCAGAAACTATGGATGATTTGGTTATGGAGTTTCAAAGATTTGTGAGAATGGGAAGGGAAACAAAAACAAACAAAAAAGATCAAATTTTGGAGGAGATTTGAGAAAGAAAATTGTAATATTTGGTGAAGGATTGCAAATTCAAAAGAATCCCACCCATGAGATGAGGAAACAATTTGAGCCAGAAATCTGGTGCCAGGTCACGGGACACGTGGATACAAGAAGATAGGGTCAAGGATGATGTTATTTGAAAGTGGGACCCACGAGATGCCAGGTCACCGTTGTTATACACTGAATCATGATCCACACGGCGTTGTTGTGTGGACTATGATCATCAAATGGAACTACAATAGAATTAAATAATATTTTAGTATTATTATAATAAAATTAAGAAAATAAAACTAAAAAACATAATAATATTATCAAATAAAATTAAAATGTAATTAAAATAATATATACTTATAGTTCACGCTGCGACATAAATCATGGTCCACAGTAAATTTGCCCCATGCCACGGAGCACGTGGATATAACAAGATAGAGGGGGATATGTTATTTGAAAGTGGGGCCCGCGAGATGGCTTCATAATATCCACAACCAATCACATTGAACCTTTTGGGAACGAACTCACCAGTTTCATTGGTTAGTTTGGGATTTGGAAGAGAATGGGAATCAAATGTGCCCATTATCATACTTCTAGGGATAATTTTATTTATTTTTTTTTTAAGAAAAACAAGTTTTAGCATATTCTTGATTTGTTAAAATGATAATGATAATTTAACATGTAGCAATTTGATTCTTTTAAAAATAGTCCAACTTAGTTTGGATGATTTTTAATTGTTATACAATAGACTATGATTCACACAGCCACTGTGTAAACTATAGTCATCAAATGAAATTGTAGTAGAATTAAAATGATATTTTAATGTTGTTATAATGAAATTAGTGTGTGAAAAATGAAACTAAAAAGCTAACTCATTCAATAACGTATATTGTCAAATGAAACTATAGTATAATTAAAAGGAAGAAGTGTCAAATATGCCCATCTACTATGGCCAAATGCTCAATTCCCCCCACGAACTAAAATAAACTCTAATTAGCCACACCTACCAAGTAAATTTGTGCGATTGGCTTTTTTAGTAGGTTGATAACCCATTTGCGATGACGTGTCCGATTAGGCTTATGTGGCTTGTTTACATGGCAAACACTAACAATACAAAGCAACAAGTCATCAAGCTAAAATTCCCAAATCAATATGAAATTCCCTTATCGTGAACCCTAGCCCGGCCTCGACACCATTCCAGAAGCGAAGCGGACATTATTAACGATCTGACCACCCATCGAAGCCATTGACGACAGTGGAGAAGTGTACATTGAGGACATAGACGACCTGCGTGGTGGACTACCCGTCAATGCCATTGACGACAGTGGAGAAGGTAAGCTTTGCTTTGCTGCTACTGCTGTCGAATGATTTGTTTGGTTTGAAATAAATAGAAGAGTAACTGGTAGTCCATTCCCTTTGAATTGATGTTGTGTAAAGTAAAAAATAGCTTTGTGGTCTTGCTAGTTTCAAAAAAAGGGCTGTGGTCCTACTCTCAATATCTGTAAACAAAGTGTAAAGCTGCTTGTTGTTATGTGGTCCATACAATGTCTGGTAAAGGTGTTGTGGGGGTCCTACATAACACTAGCCTTGAATACTATGGTTGTTGTGCTTTTGAATTTCTATATTTAATAATTGTGCATATGAATACTGTGGTTGCTGTGCAAACATGTGAAAGAATATAGTGATGTCTGTGTTGTCTGGTTGTGATTTTTATATTTTGCATTTACTTATTGTATTTCAGGATGTCAGACTGTGTTGAATTACTTATTCACCATGGTGGTAACTTCATAAAAACCCCTAGCCTTAGGTATGTAGGTGGAGAAGTAGAGTCTGTAAAGTTGGACCCAGACTATATATGATATCCACATCTTATTAAGTACATAAAGGAGGCAAGATATGGAAACATTCAATCACTAACATATAAATTACCTGAAGAATCTTTTAAGTGCTTGAAGCTTTTAAATAATGATGCCAGCAGTATGCACTTAGTTCAGATTACTTTGAAGGGTAAGAAGTGTGAAATTTATGTTGAACATGGGTTGGATGATCCATACTTGGTTACAGTTATGAGTTTACCTGGCCCTGAAAATGCAGAAACACAAACAGATAATAGGGCTCAATCTGGGTGTTTGAGTGATATTGAATTGGATTTTGATGAGTGTGAAATTGGGAATGAGGCTGATGTTGGGGCAGAATTAGGGGCAGAATTTGAAACTGAAGATGTGGCTGATTTAGGAGGGGAAGTAGGGTCAGAATTTGAAACTGAAGATGAGGCTGATTTAGGAGGGGGATTAGGGTCAGAATTTGAATCTGAAGATGGGGCTGATTTAAGAGGGGAAGCAAGGTTAGACTTTGAAGGGAATGGTTCTGAAGATGGGGCAGATAGTGATGGAGAAACTGATGTTGGGCCTGATGGTGGGGAAGAAACTGTGTGTGTGGGTGCTGATGAAAATGAAGGGAATGATTCTGTTTACTATGATTATGATGATCCACCATCTATTCAAGAAGATAATGAGAATGATGTAGGTGAAGAGGTCCAATCCAACATGAAGAAATGTAGATACCCTATATATAATCCAAAGTCTGATCCACCTCAGATTGAGTTGGGTATGTTGTTTGATGATAATTTGCAATTTAAAAATGCGATGATTAGTTATGCTGTGCATAATAAAAGAGATATTTACTGGAAAAAAAATGAACCTAAATATGTAAGGACTGAGTGTAAAGGAGAGGGGTACTGTCCATTTTACTGTAGTGCAGGGTGGGAAGATAGATACAAATGCTTTCAAGTTAAGTCAATAAATCTGGACCATAGATGCAATTCAAAGTACAAGCTAAGGATTGTAAGTCAAAACTGGCTTGTTGACAAATTAGAGGACAAAGTGAGGAAGGATCCTTGTATTGGTTTTACTCAACTCAAGAATGACGTACATGCTGATTTAAAGCTCAATTTCTCAATAAGCATAGCTAGAAGGACTATCAAAGGAATTATACAGAAACTAGATGCCGGATATGAAAGACAGTTTAAAAGATTGAGAGATTATGCTCAAGAATGTATGGACTCCAGTCCAGGTAGCACTGTTAAAATAGAAACAAATAAGGTTGTTCCCGATACCCCATGTGTTTTTCAGAGAATATATGAGTGTTTTGCTGCTGTTAAAAAAGGGTTTTTAGAAGGTTGTAGGAAGGTGATTGGGCTAGATGGGTGTTTCTTGAAAGGTATGTTGAAGGGAGAGATTTTAACTGCTGTTGGTAGGGATGGAAACAACCAGATGTATCCTATTGCCTGGGCTGTTGTGGAGATAGAGAACAATTCATCACGGAGTTGGTTTCTGGGGTTGCTAAAGGTAGATCTAGGGATGTGGGACAACAGTGATTGGACAATTATGAGTGATCAACAAAAGGTATGAACTTCAGGGTCTAAGTAATATATTTGCTTGTTACTTTACTGCTTCTTTCCTATAAATGATTATGTATTTTATATTCGGCAGGGTCTAAGTAACATAATTGCAGAATTGTTTCCTGGTATTGAGCATAGGAATTTTGCAAGGCATGTCCATGCTAACTGGAGTAAAAAGCATAGAGGCAAGGTTATGAAAAAACATTTCTGGCAGATTGCTAAGGCTACCACAAAAGAAAAACTTGATGAAGAACTCAAGGCATTAGAGAAGATAGACTTGAATGCAATGAAAGACTTGGATAAATACCCTATGAAGATGTGGTGTAAAGCGTTTTTTTTAGGACAGAGGTAAAATGTGACATAGTGGACAATAACCTTTTTGAAGCATTCAACAACACACTCTTAAAGGCTAGGTCAAAACCAATAGTTGCAATGTTAGAGGACATCAGAGTTGGAACGATGAAGAGGATTGCTGCAAAGAAGGCTTCTGTTGGAAAGTGGAATGGCCAGTTTGGGTCATTTATTATGAAGAAATTAAATGCAAACATTGTTGAAAGTGTTGGATGGGAGGTGGATTTCAATGGTGATGATGGTATGAGATAAAGAAAGGGAAGCATCAGTTTAATGTCAGCATTCAAAGAAGGAGTTGTTCTTGTAGGTCTTGGGATCTCATTGGTATCCCATGTGCACATGCAGTTTGTGCTATTTTTGATAAAGGAAGACAACCAGAAGAGTTTGTGCATGGCTGGTACTCTAAGGAGTTGTATATCAAAACATATACACATGTGATTCAACCCTTAAATGGTGAGATCTTTTGGCCAAAAACTGGTTGTGAGAAGATACATGCACCTGCTCCAAAGAAGATGACTAGAAGGCTTAAGAAAAAAAGAAAGCAAGAAGAATCAGAACCTAGACCTGCACAGTCCACTAATCATTTGACTAGAAAGGGAAGAGTGATGACTTGTGCATTGTGTAAGCAAAAGGGACACAACAAACGTTATTGTTCTACTCAACCTAGAGGGGGAAGTTCTAATGTTGCAAGAGGAGGAAGTTCAAATGCAAGAGGAGGAAGCACTTCGGCTACAAGAGGTGGAAGACAAGTTGGACTTGGTATATATACAAACCCACACACTGGAGAAGTAACACTAAATGTAAGGCATTAATTAAATTCTTGTTTTACTTTGGGAATAATTAAATTGTTATTTTACTTTTGCAATAATTAACTTCTTGTTATACTTTTTGTATAGCGTGGACTACCAAGCCAACGAGTGATATATAAACCTAGAAGAGGGAGGAACAACACACCTGGCACAAGTAGCATTGCCAACAGTTCAAGTGGAATGAATTAAATCTGTGCCTTTTGGCAGTGTTGTATGTCTCTTAGTGTTAATGTAGATTTTGGCTAGGAAGTGTATCATTGTTTTGGTTGCCTTAAGCAGATGTTAGTATGTTTTGGCAAACATATGTTAGTATGTTTTGACAGTGTTAATGCTTGAATATTTGGCAATGTATATCTGCAAATTTTTGGCAGTGAATATGTGCAAATTTTACTTCATTTTGGCAGTTTTGATGAGTGTGAAATTGGCAATGAGCATGTCAAAATTTTCCTTCATTTGTCAGTGAATATGTGCAATTTTTTCCTTCACTTTGGCAG